ATATTGTCTGACTTTTGGAATGAAAAAACTGCTGCCAAAACATTGGCAAAAGCTTCCTCTTGAAAATTTCATTATTTTGAAATCACATAAATCTAACTCTTATAATTCGAGTTATAGCATAATTCGAAATGATCAATTGGTTTCAACCAAGTCCAACATAAAACTATGTTCAAAAAAGTCACATGATTCGAAACAAATATTACGTGTATCGAGTTTTTTTTTCAAAATCTCAAGGATATATACCGTTGACAGAAATTTGATCTAGTTCATTTGTATTTGTAAACGAAATTTTATCTACGAGCTTTACTAACAAAGTCCCCATCGAGTCTATCACATGGCTATCTTAGAGAAAAAGAAAAGTCTGATATTGAATAAAAAGAAACATTTGAAAGTTCAGCGTGTTGACTCGCGAGTGCAGTGCGTACGTACAAGCCGGCAGAGCTTCTTAATGCGGAAACGAAGCTTAATTTCTTTGCATGCATACACAGCCACCTCGAGTTCGTTGTCGCGTTTTTGCCTCGTTTGACTCGTTGCGTGCGGGAACTTGTCATGTGTACGAGAGGGGCAGACGTCACTGTAAAGCCCACGCGCGGATCCGCGCACGCAGCCGCACACAAACGAAGAATAAACTTTGATTTTGCACGAACAGAAAAAACGCGCTCACTCGTCACAACGACCTTTGTGGAGGCACAGTTTACAAAGTGCAGTGTGCGGATGCAACGTGAGCTAAAGTCGAGCGAGAATACAAAAATTGTATTCAACCCTCATGGATAAGCTCGGGCTTCGGTGCAGCCGCTAAGATGCTGCTGCTTCATCCTTTTTGTACGTGTGCACGATGCATAATATTTTATGGTATACGGTATGTATACAGTATCACTTGATTAAAAGTTTGATGCTTGGGGAAGTCTCACTTGCATCACGCTCGACGCGCACCACTACTCCCGGCAGCAGCAGCAGCGGCACAAGACTATGAGAGGATCATCGTTGAATACTTCATCCGGAAGTTGAACTTAACGAGTACATAACGACGATTTCATCATTATCATACGATTGCTCAACGGAAAGCAATTCGAGATAGTAAAACAATAATGGAAATCGATTAAAAATGCATCGCTTCGCAATCGATATCTCATATTTCTCGACTTTTTTTTGTTGCAGAATTTGCGCGCACGCAGCCCGCTCGAAAGCGTCATTAGAATAATGTGAATAATGCGCTGGCGCAGTTGGGAAAATAGATGAATGCGTCTGTCTGCGCGCGAAACCAGGCTAAACTTTTTCACTTATACATCTCATCCGGTTTATCCAACGTCGCCTGCGCGCGTAAATGCATAAACGCGGCAAAGCTGTTACGTATAAATGTATGCGTTGTCGCAGTCCGCGTGTACGCGTATACACTAGCTACGTAGAGAGCTCGGCGCTCGAGTCTGAAGAGCCAAGGGCTGTATGTACGGAGGCTCTCTCTGATTTGAAAGTCGAGTTTTCAATCTCGAACCCGAGCTCTCTATGCGAGTCGGCAAGGCTCCGCTTATTTTTGCATTTTTTGCGTGACGCCTGCGGTGGCGATAACCCCTTGCGAGTCGTCGTCGTCGTCTGCACGATGGACCAGCAGCTCGGCGTTTAGGCCATTCGGAATTTATGAATGAAAAAAAGGGCTCGTTGTGTATGCGCTACTGTAGCTTCTGGAGCGCGCGCGCGTGCGACGTTTTCTAGCAATGAGACTCTGGCTTGGAAAAAAAAGCTTGCCAGCCGAAAAAATCGTTGCCGCTGCTTCTACTCTTTTGTTGTTCGTGTCCCGAATTACTCGCAAGTCGAGCGCCTCGTTGCTACTGCTGCTACTGCTGCTGCTGTTACTGCTTACTTGCGCGCTTGCCCCTCTATGTGCAAAAGATCAATACGAGATGAGGGAGTATATGTACTAGTAAAAGTGAGAGAGAAAGAGAGAAAGAGAGACTGGCCCCAGCTAGCTGGACGATTAAAACTTCCAGCTGCACACGATCGATAAGTATAGTAAAAAAAAACTCAAACGTAATTGTGTGCAAGTTTTATATAAAAAAAGGCATCAAAGAGCGCTGCAACGATTTTTTTCAATAGCATAAGTAGTATTATAGGGATTGGAATTCACAACTAATATTTATTTTGTATCGTTTCAAATTAAATGTCACTTTACTCGCATTATTTTACCGAAAATTTACTCTCAGTCTAATGTAATTCGGCATTGCTTCTTGATACTTAGCAACCCTTTTTCCAACGCGGTACCACTGCAAATCTATCATTTAGAAAGATTACTCCAAACGCAACTGTGAGAGAATCATATGCATGAATAAAAAACTCGCAAGCTCCATGTGCATTTGAGAAGAGAAACAGTAAAAGACACGTTGCCTCTACAGGGTGGAATGACTTCCGCTGGCGCACTTTTTTCCGTCGCTGCATCCCACAGCTTTTTGTGCAGATGAAAATATCGCGTTTTTATGTGCGTTGCGCTGCTGCGGCAGCTTGGCCAGAACAAGATGTAAGAGGATTTTTTATCGAGACTGTTTACGTTTCTTCGAGTACATTTATTCGACTCAAAGCGTATTAAGCGACGATTCGTTGTAATACATTTTTTTCATTGCTGCCAGATTGCTTATTGTTGGATTGAACATGATTTTCACGTCAATTTCTCATTCGCCATCTCTAAATTTCAAGAAATAATTTTATGATAACTTTTAGATTCAATTATTTCAATCGCGGATCATAATTAATCTTCGTTGCAGTGGTCGTGAAAATAGCATCTTGTGTACTCAAAATTAACAGCAGCCGTTCGAGGGCTGCTTTAGATAAGGGCGTCGAAAGGAAAACGGCTTCAAAGGAAAAGTGAAAAATTACTCGAGAGCAATGTACAGTTGTAGAGAGTTGGAAGGAGGAGGAGGAGGAGGAGGAGAAGGTGGTGGTGGCGTAACAGAGGCTGAAAGAGGCTAAAATAGGCAAGCGAAACGTATGTAGGTCGCATTGTCAGTGCCACGACCTGACTTCGCTGAGCTCTGGGGTCGCGACCGAAGCTCGAATGCCGCATGTGTGGCACTGCAACAGCTCGGAGCAGTCATCAGCCCTCCTTTCCTCCGTTGTATCTCTTTATCTGCATCGCAAGCGCAACGCATTCCAATACACGTAGTAATTCGCAGCATGTGCTAGTTTATCAGCGACGATCGATGGCGTATCGAATTATCAATAAACCTCGTGGCACGCGTCCATTTGTATCGCTGAAAAAATCATTTTAGCTTCAAATACATATATTTTTCAATTTCACAACGTAGAAATATATGTCGTCGTCCTATCAACGGAGTGAAAAAGAGCGAGAAATACAACGTGGACCGCTTTTGTTTGTGACCTTTTTCCTGATGACAATGTTACACTCGTATCTCTCCGCTCTTCTCTCTCTCTTTTTAAAAAATTCGTACATGCTCATCTTCTCCGGCTTTTCTGATTCCACTGCTTGAGCTTTCATTCACACATACTGACTTGACGTCGAAGCAGAACGGCACACAGATGTTTTTATTTTTTTGCAATTGTTGCTCGAGAATAAAGAAAAAAAAGTATTTTGGATTTAAATTTATATACGCATTGCCTTGTTTTCATTTCACTGACGAAGTATTGTTCGCTAACGATTATTCGATAGAGAATTGCATTGAGTTTTATCAGGTGGATCGATGCGCGAATGCAGCTGTTCGTTGAATAGTTCGAATTAAACCATATGACTTCAAGCACTGAATCAGGTCATCAATGATTTCACCATTTCACGAAAAAACCTACACTTGATAACTTGCATTCAGCAGTAATACATGTTTCACACGAAACATTTTCACATGAAATGCCCACAGAAAAAATATTTCCAGATTTTTTAAAATTGAAGTTGGTATATGTAATTTCAAAATTGGACTTCAGCCAGCACGCCAGGAGGAGAAGAAAGCTACACCCATCACTAACCGTAGACCATAATTAATAGTTCCCGAAAAAAGTATTTCTCACTCCTACTGTTGATTCTGTTATTTCAGTTGGCGCATCTAGTAATATATCCCAACTTTCGTTACCTCTTAATCTTTAGAAAACAATGGTTATCGTACAATATGTGGGTATACTTTTTTTCTTCGTATTATTTACCACCGTGGTGAAATAAAATTCTTCTTTTTGCTATTCTTAGTTATACACATTTTATACTATAATGATAATATTGCATTAAACATAGTTTATTTTTTAATTGTTGAATTCTAAAACAAAGTCTTGGCGCTACTCTGCAAAAATATATTTTAATTAAATTGATTTCACACTTAATTCGAACTATAATATGTGGTTATAGAAAAAAAGTAATGATTTTTTATCGATTTATTGATTCAATAATGTATATAATGTACAAATAGTATTGCAGACATCTACATTTTCCACTGCAGTAAAAGACGTTTATAACATTTCAATTGGTGCGTCTATTACTACAGATTTAAGAAATTGTATTTTACAAAATATCACTATACTTATTATATTAATAGCTGTTATTTTTAAGTATGCATGTATAATATGAGTTTTATTCATTTAGAATTTATAAATATATTTCATCGCGAACCCACTACTTATGGACTAAGCAACATAAGATAAAATAGCATATCGTTACGGAATATTATCTACGAACTCATGGGTAGGAATCTACTGTGCCGATATCATGATCCTTAAATTTGCCTTGAAAAAGATATTCGAAAGTAATTTCTTAAATGGAACGCCAAAAGTAGAAACGACTTACTAAAATTGTACCAAAATTTTTAAAATATGTCTAAAATAATAAAAATTAACATTATATTCTTGAGAAAAATTAACACAATTCAGAAAATTAACTTTCTTAATTATATTTACGTTGTGATATATAGTAAATAATTATTTAGTATTTTCAGAATAATAGAGATTTCATGAACCCAATATAAAATTGTAAATTATTAGCACTGAAAAGTCAGGCATTTCATGTAACAAGTATTTAATAGTTTTTTGTTTTAATTTGCTTTATTAAAATCGATAAATATTTTGCATCCTTACACTACTATGTACATGAACATGAACATAAAAAGAGGTAACAAAATATACAATAACTTAGTTGAGTATTTATGTTAATTATCGATCAAACCTATTATTTAAAAATCAGATATCACATTTGTGTACAGTTTTAAGCTTATTATAAAAAGGACTAGCTTACAATATACAATGCTATTTATCTGTGCAAAATTACATTCATGTTACAAAGATTGTGTTTTTAAATATTCAAGATTTCACATTTTTTTCGACGATTTTTAGAAATATTATGATTAAAGTCATTGGCACTCAAGTTATTCAAGTTGCATTTGAGGAGAGTGGTACTTGAATAAATGTATATCAAAGTAGTTTAAAGATATTTGCGACAACTGAATAATGTTTAGTACGTCATGAAATTCAGCGCGACTATCTTTATCACTAAATTATAAAAATGCGAATCCCAGCGCATTCTGAAGCAAGTAGTACTGACTACTTTGAATAGATAGAATGTATTTTATGGTACTTTTTAAAATAAATACGCGTACTTAAGAAACCTAAATACATAAATTTTCTAAATGCGCTTAGATGTGCTAAGATGTGCTTAGAAATTTATTTCAATATTGTTTCAATTACTATTACCTTCTAAACAATTGCAACGTTTAGAAAAAATGTCTTTGATTAAACTTTTACTAAAATCAAGGATTATTCACATTGCGAATGACTTTTTACAAAGTTACTCACATAAAATTTAATTTCAATTAACAGAAGATACAACTTTAGTATACATGAGTATTTACAAACGTTTCTTCGTAATGCAAAAAAATTGAAAGAAAATAGATAAAAAAAATTATCAACCACTAACGAGTACAATGAATTAACTTAATAACGAAGACACGAAGAAATTTTTTTCGTATTTTCGTTATAGTCGTTTATTCGATCAAAATAAGCTCGTTCGTACTTCGAAAATCCATGTATAAATATATTTTCTTTATACAAGATTTCTGCTAACAGCTTTTTGCCAAGAAAACGTAGTGGCCATCACGAATGTCAATAAGAATGAGTTACTACTGACGATTATATCGATGAGAAGCGTAGTGGCCTCTGCCTCGCCGTAAGAACCATCATCTTCGCGGACAGTTAGACGCTGCAGGAAATAAGTAGCAATGTAAAGATTTGAACCTGTAATACCAAAAGCAAAATATTTATTAAACAGATGTTATGAATATTTAAAATATGCATAAAAGTTAAAGTAATACGCGTTCTTCCAGCTACTTGACGTCAGAAGTTTACGATAAAAGAAGGGGTACAATTTTGAAATTTTAATTCGATACAACATTAAATTTACATTCAACTTTTGCATAAATAACCATCGGAAAGTTTTCTAGTCGTGCGCTGGAATCCAAACTCATCGTTATTGCTCCTCGTATAGCATATTTCTTGTTTTATTTTGAATTTTCACTTTAGGCGTTAATTCGCGTTATGTAGAGATGAAATCAACAAGAAACGAGGGAAAAATACTGATATACCATGTGATTTCTAAATTACCAAGGTTTTCCAAGTTACACCATGCATATAAATCAAAGATGCGATTGTATTTTCAGTACGAAAAGATATTATCACAAGTGCAATTATCATAAAAACTGAGCCTTTTTGAAGTTTTTCATATCAATTAGTATGAGGATGATTAAAAATGTTGCGAGACAACGTGATTTAAGCTGAGTAATGTCATATTTCTTTAATTCACGTCAAGAGATATATAATAATAAATAATTTTTTTCAATGGCATCATAGCTCACGGTATTTTACTACATAAGTAGAAATAGTAAACAGGGTTCAACGATATTTCTTACCTGCTTGGATCTTTTTTCTTATCAAAACCATCTATTTTTACTACATTCCATTCATCTTTAGGACCTTTGGCATAACTGAATGATACCTGCAATGATTAATTTAAAAAATCAGTTTTAATTCGAAAAAAGTACAAATTAATTCCACTTTATGATTAACAGAGTTGTGTTTTCCAAGTTAAATTTTTTCATTTATTGTAATGAGAAAGTACAGATATTTTGAGTACACGTTCAATTTGAACTTTCATAAAGTTAGTTGAAGTTTTAAATAAAAATGAAAAAATTTTACGCTCATTAATTTTGTTCAATTTTTATTTTGATGAGATGCAGTTTGAGTAAAAACATGAAAAACGAATGAACGTTGATAACTAACCTGATTATGCAGCGTATCTTTGTTAAGGAACTTGAGTATTTCCAAGTGCGAATGAAACTGCTCTACTACGGTGAGTTGTTTCTTCAACAAATGTTCAATTATATAACCCATTGTTACGTCATCTGGCAGTCTTATCCTATCGCCTACTGTAATGAATTTGCCACCTCTGAAACAAAATAAGAAAAATGAATATTATATTGCAATGCCAACACTTTGAAACATCTGTATAGTATATACGGTAGACTATATATACGTAGGGTCTAAAAGCAAAATGAAAAAGTGAGAAAATTACGAATGTAATATGAAAGAAGAAAATAAGTAAAGTCAGAGAGAATTGGGAATTAAAATGAAAATCGAAAAGGAGGTTGAAAAAATAAATGCGTATATTCCGCGACGAAACGAACGAAGGGGATATTCGCTTCCACATCTCTTGGGTCAAGTCCTTTACGCCGCACCATGAAATTTAATTATTCGGCTGGCTTTAATTCGGCAACATTCCGGTTTGTCCCTTACTGCCGCTGCTGTATGGAGATTAGAGAAATAGCGAGTGAAAGATGCATTTACATACATCCCGCGGACGGCGGTCGCACCTGCCGCGATCCATTATACGAAAGCGGCTTATTACACTCGCACATATCCGACAAATCAAACATTACCCAGCAGCAGCGCGATTCTCTCATAATCACTAATGGATCAGATTGCTCGTTCGCAGCGTCCGAACTGGCCGGACTTTTTGCTGATTCGACAGAGAAGGGCCAATAATACACTCAACTTGATCTCGAAATTCACTAAAGCAGACCGCTTTTTGTCACGCGAGAGCAGGCAGCATCTTATCCCGGGCTTAAATTTGTACCCGTAATTAAATTCTACGCCCGTATACGATGACGAAACCGACCGCCATAACAACTTTTGCATTTTAATGATATTGCAAAGACAAAAATAGCACATTGTGACATGCACCATGTGTATACTTATATGAAAAATCGAAGATGCAATATAAATTATTAAAATGTAATATTAGTACCATACGAGTTGACAGTAGGTAGTTATTTTAGTTCATCTTCGACTGCAATGAATCAAGTATTACCGTACAATTTACAGGATAATTCAAGGATAATTTAACATTCAACATTAGAAATAAGTAACAGATATGAAATTTCATATTTAATTCCTGCAAGTCAGGTTTGAATACGATAATCAGCTTCTAAAAGTCACAAAATAGTTTTTTGCCACGAGATATACATAACTTTGACCAATCGAGCGAGTCATTTGGCTTGTCCCTTTTTACCTGTACAAATGCACACAGCGCTGAGAGAGGGATACGTGGGACTTGACTTTCGCACGGTCTATAGAGCATAGGTATAGCTTCGGAAAAACGTCATCGTCGCCGATGTCGAATTTAAAGTACTGGAAGAGTGCGCAGACGATCGAGACGGAGAACGAAAAAGTCAAAGGACTGTCTCTCTAAAAACTTACGATCATTGTTGAATGCGAAAGGGAGAGTCACAGCAGCAACAACAGCAGCACCTCTCAGAATTTCCATGGGCTGCCAATTAGGGTACTGCCAAAGATATACGAGTCCAGCAAGTTCATATACGTATATATTTGAACACACACACACACACACACACACACACACACGTACGCACGCGCTAACTCACACGCACAAGTATATATGTGTAAACGCATATGAAGGTTCCTAAAAGAAAAAGAGAGAGAGAAAGAGAGAGAGATAGCCGGCACCGCTGCTGTGACGCGAGAGCGCGCTTTAATTAACATTTTTCGTTTCGATTTGTCCGTTCGCTCTTTTCTCTCTCCTCGCGCGCGCGCGCGATTCTCCTCCCTTCGTTTGGAGTTTCTCATTAGTGAATACCATGGACCTATAGGTATGTTGTACAGGTGTCTTTGACCATTTCTTCGCTTGGCCGTGCATGTGTGCGAGGATATATACACATGAGCACGCGCGCGAGCATTTGTATTATTTTTCGAAGAGATGCCGAGTGATTTGGCAGAAGAGAGAGAGGGAGAGGGATGGAAAGAGAGAAGCCGAGAGAGTAGCGCGACCTTTTTAATTGGACAGATTAGAGGAGAGGCTCTCCATTTCGTTTCCTCTTTTCATCGGCCTTTGAAAAGTCGCGCTCGCGTTTTATATCTTTGTCGCCGCTTCCTCACTTCTCTTTGCCGCGCTTCGTCCCACCCTGTCTCCTTATTTTTTGCAAGTCCCTTTTTTTTCGACGCATACGTACACGCACACAGACGGGCGACACACATACACGCGCGCACACACGGCGACGATACATTAACGAACGCGAATATGGGTTTTGCTGCGAGAGTCGCTGGGAGTGCGTGAGAGTGTGCGAAGGCCCTTTTCGGTGAATATACGCGCGGCGCGTGAGTGTACACGAGCGAGCGCGCGCGAAAAATATCGACTTCGTTAAAATACCATACGCAACGATATCGAAATTTCGAGGTTAAACGGCTTCGTCTTCGTCGTCGTCGTCGTCGTCGTCGTCGTCGTCGTCGTCGTCGTCGTCGTCGCCATCGAGCAATGTTCGCCACGGCACATATATACCCCGAGTGCGTGTAGCACTCGCATGTTGAAAGACACGAAGGCTCCGCGCGAAAGAGCAAAATTTTTGTCGCGCTCCACCGTATAACTCCTTTTATCGTTATTTTCTACCTTTATTCGAGCGTTCGCATGCTCGTTACTTTTTATTCTTGAATCCTGCGCACCACTGATACTGTATATCATCTTTCCCCCTCCGTGCATACTTTATGCGATTCGGCTCTAATTAAATACCTATTTTTATGCGCGTTAACTTGCGCTCGAGCGCAATTTTTACGAGCCAATATGTTTTGCTTTATCTGCAACCTTCTTGTGAAAATATCAAGTATATTGAATATCTCTGTGTGATCGTTGTGGATTTTGGGAAGATTCGGCTACTGCTCAGCGAAAAACCAAGAATCAACCGCCCTGCGAGCGAGCGAGCAAAAGCGTTTAATTAGCTCGAAAGAGCCATCCGGCAATCAAACCGCGCCCGTTGATTCGAACGAGTCCATTGGCGACTTGAACTCGCAGCTCGCAATCCAGTAACGATCTCATTAACGCTTATATTGAAACTGTCAGCGAGGTTCCAATGTTATGCAAGAGGTATAAAAACAAGGATGCATCAGGACCTAGAGAGCCCTGTAATTGCTTCTCTGAAGGATCAGTGAACATTTTTATGAACGAAACTTTGACTTGAAAAAAACATTCGACCGCTTATAGAGTATATAATATTAATTCGTTATTTTTAAGTATATGACCACAACTAAAAAACGCGTGGAATCCACAGTAGTCAAAGTTTCACGCAACGCCGGATTTAAATGTTTTTTAATACGTTTCATAAATAATTTAATTTATAACAGACTGTCCGGAGCAGAAAAAGGAAAAACAGAGAGAGAGAGAGAGACCAGCTACTTGATTTGGCACTTAAGCTTTCATGGAGATATTTTAATTATACGCAAGATCAGAATAGATACGAGATTTGAGATATATGATGCAAAAACTTGTCGGCTCGAGGCAAGACTGGTTCATTTGAATATCATCGACAGGCTGCAATTAATTTTCGGCTATCTTATCGTCACAGTTGATTAAAAGAGCATTTCAACAACCATCCGAAAAACATATTTGTTTGCAAAATTTTTACACAAAATTCTTAATAGAGACTAAGGAATAACATAGACCTTTTAAAATACACCAAGAGAGCAAAAAAAAAGATCGGAAGATTAAAGTAGCAAGCAGAAACTGCAAAAGAAGCATCGATAACCTTGAAGGAATATTAAAACTTCTTTGCAAATGACAGAATATTTTACCAATACATCAGTCTTATCTTGTATTCCAATTATACAATTTCGAACGTGCAAAGATGATATGAATTTTAAAACTGAATGAGATAAATAGTAAAAAAATCAAATTCTGATTGGCAAAAATACGTGAAGATAGATACGAGAGTGGACATCAATTATTCTGCCCACTGTTGTTTTAAAAAGTCTAGCATCTTGTGCTGTGAGCGCACGAAGCATACGCCTACTCGATCACATTATCAGGAATTTGAAAACTCGTGTTCATTAAATCACATGTTATCTACCCAATTCAACGTCCTACCACAACTCGTTTATTTCAAAGACAAAATAGAACCATCACTTTTTTAAGAGTAGAGATGTATTTCGTAAAATTACCGATGCGAAATCGTCCTTGTCTTACTACTAAAATACTACCTGATGCTCCACTGTGGCTGATCAGACCACTGACTCAACATTCAAAAGATCACTCGAAATATTCAAGACAACTTAGCTTGCGTTATATCTGCTAATTCAATAAATGTTGGATCGAATGAGATGAGAACGTCGATTTTATCAAGAATATAATGCAGCTTCATTTTCTGAACACCAGGGAAGAAAATAAATAAAAAAGGCAACACGTTATCATCTTCGAATCGTTTACCCGATCATTTCTGCTGTTACTGCAGATGGCAGTCCTGCATTCATTTTTTAAATGAAGCTTGAAGAAACGAATTATTTTTTAGTTCCGCTACACTTGAGTATGAATTCCAAGAAGCTCGACTGTCGGCACTCTTTAAGTTGATAGTGTTTTTTAATTATTTTTCTCTATTTTTATTCATGACCTTGAGTAACATTTGTTCATTTTTTATTTCGAAGGGTTTTATTTTTAAATATCAAAATTTTATGCACAATATTTAATTTAAACAAATGTATGACTTGAAATTGCTCTGAGTTTTATTTAGACGAATGAAGTCCAAAAAGTATCTTCATCCATTGCATGATCAGCAAAAATTAATCGAAGAAATCCAGTGAGGTATAATAACCCGAGTTATCAATGCTTCCAAATGTTGCATGACGTTGCGACTACTTTTCAGGACAATTAAAAGGCAATTCTCGATTACAGGCTGTTTTGGTACATGCATCGAATTCTATACAGACTGCAGAGGTTGCGCATAGCAAGTTGCAAACTTTGAATGAAAATAAATGTTCATGACATGTAAGTATCCAACAGTTCAGAGAAACGTGCATGCATTTCATTTGATTCGGTAAGGGGTGCGCTACTGCTTGGGTGATCAAACCATTCGAGTTCGGACAAAAATACCAATAGAGTACTCCAGGAGT